ATTTTGGGTGAATATATGGTGTGCCTCTTACAAAAGTGTATTGCTCTAAGAAGAATATCTCACAATTCTGAATGCTTCTCACTTGATCATCTCGATTGTTGTGCCAACAAATACTAAGACTAGGGGTGGCAAAATGGATGGATTGGATGAATATGGATTGGATAGTTAATAGATGAATCAAAACAATCCATTAATCCATTAACAATCCACTAAAATTTTCTTAAAATTATACAATCCAATCCATTCGTTAAGAATAAAATTCATCCAATCCATCCATTAACATATTTTTAATGGATGGATATCCATCCATCCAACTTTTTTTTTATTTCGAAAAAATAAACTTATTTTTTTATTTTTAAAAAATTAATTTTATTTTATTTTCGAAAAGTTCATTTTTTGTATTTTAAAAAAGTCATTTTTTAATATATTCATGAAAAAAATTTGAATTTTTTGTTTAAAAAAATCATTTTTTGTATTTTCAAGAAAAAATTTGATATTTTAATTTTTGAAAAATATCGATTTTTTTCAGAAAAAGTCGGTTTTTTGGGGAAATTTTGAATTTCTTGTATTTTCCAAAAAATTGATATTTTAATTTTTAAAAAAATCAGTTTTTTTTTTGGAAAAAATTTCTGTTTTTTTAATTAAAAAAATCATTTTTTTCTAAAAAAACTGATTCTTTTTTTCGATTTTTTTTTGGAAAAATTCCAGTTTTTTTTATTAGAAAAAAATCAATTTTTTTCTTTTAAAAAAATATATTTTTAATTATTTTTTAAAAAATAAATCTAACGAAAATAAAAATAATTTATTAGATCATTAAAATATGTTGGATGGATTGAAACCATCCATGCATATAAATGAATGTATCTAATCGAATCTATTAAATTATTTTGTATGTGATAGATGGGATTAAATGGATTTTTTAATTGATGGATTGGATAAATTTTGCTTTAATGAATCCAATTACCTCCTCTAACTAAGACATATAACAATGACATATCCTACCTGAAAAGTTTTAAATTTCTCAAAATCACACAACTTTATTTGCAAGTTGACCTTTAAATGTTTGATTGGTTGTTTCTCATTTTAGTCATTGTTTCTCACGAAATAAAATAACTCTGTTAAATTTAATGACATTATCAGTGTTGGATTTACATATTGCTTCTTCATTTCTTCGTGCAATTTTATGTATATTTTTTGCTAGAATATAACATCATTTCCCATTGTTGTCTTTTTATTTTCTTTCAAATAGAGCTCTCAACTTATATTAGGTTGATTAGATCAAAATTATGACAGGGAGATTGTGAGTGCCCTTACTTAAGGGCTAAGTTTATTAACTTAACAAGATAGATTGTAATGTGACCCGATGACAGACAAACAAACTTTGTTGGGGATATTATCCTCCTACCTTAAAGTGGTAGATTTGTCAAACAAACTTATTCTCACGTATTGTCAACATTGCCTCATTTGATACACATCCAGTATTACCAACATTAACATTGTTAGTAAAAATATGTATCAAAATAATAGTAGTAAGGATACATATGATAATCCATATTTAAAATTTTATAAAGTCTTTTTTCTTTAATCTCTTATATGAAGTTTTGTATCAAGTGTCACTTATAGTACACATGTGAAGATGGGATTATGCCAGCCATTTTTGTAACCTTTTATGGCTAAGAGAAAGATTGAGACTTTCTGCCTTAAGTAAAAAATTTATCCAAAACTAACTAATGCAACAAGGAAGAACCTACACATTAGTCCTTATTGGTATTTTTTTATGTCAGATAAATTAAACAACCAAGTTCATCTATTTTTATTGTCTTCTTGAAATATTTTGATAAAGTCTGCTAATATAATTGGGTTGTTATTGTATAGTGTGGCTTTATTGAGGCGTGTATAAATCCATGTGTATAGGTATCTAATTAATAAAGAGATGCATTGTATTACTCTAAATTGGTATTGTATAGAGGATATAGTTATTATCTATCCAAATTCATATACTTATTCCTATGCATTAGAAATCACGAGTGATGGAGAGAAGAAAAAAATGTTTTGAGATTTCCATAAACCACACAATGTAACAGAAGAAGCCGTAGAAAGTCGACAGAGGACGCCGAAGCCGCAGAGTGGGGGGTCTGACGAAGCAATCAGGGCAAGGGTCTGGCGGCCAGCTGACCTAGTCGACATTGGTGCAGGTGTTGTAAGAACTGCAAAGACGGCAATTAAGTGGTCACCAACGACGGTGGTCGGGGTTTGGATGAAGGCGTCCAGAGCTCCGACAATTTGCAATAACGAGGATGGGCGGTCAACGGTCCTCAGGACAATGGGTCTGGTCAAGGAAGTTTGCAAATTTGTTTGTTAATGGATTGTGTTTTAGACTATTTATAAAGAAAATTTTATCTCATACTATATTATTTATTCTTCTACCTTTATCTTATATTTTTTTTACCAAAATATCCTCTTATAAAAAGTATAAAATTTTTCTCATTTAATTATTTGATATAAAATTTAATAAATAAATCTAATTTTAAACACTACATAATTAATATTCTCAATAAATATGGAAAGTATTATATATTTTTCGTAAAAAAATGTTAAGGATACTAATTTATATTTGCATGTGATTTGAATGGTAATAATTATATACAACACGATTTTTGAGCTATTAGTTTTTTTCTTCTTATTTTCTAAATACTTCAAGTATGAGTCAACCTGTTTGGAGAAGGAGGATGGAAATAGCCAATATCTCGAACCATAATTATAAGTTACCTCATAGTTGGGCTAATTATTAAAAAATTATAAATGATGTGGATATGAGGTAATTTGAAGATAATAGTTAAAAGATATTACGGTTCAAAGAAACTGATATAAAAAACATAGAATAATTTTTGACTGAACAGTTTCTCATGATATCAGCTATGAGGTAATTTAAAATTGGAAGACATTAAAAAAAACTAAAAACATAAAATATGAATTAAAAAAGAAAAAATATATATTTTTGATAATAAATTGAAATTAATAAAAATATCAGTTTTTAAAAATATGGATAATTTGTTTTTCATTTTTTATAATATTAAAATTTTAAAAAAATTAAAGTTTAAAAATTTTATAAACAAAATTATATAATACTTTTACGGAAAGTATATAATACTTGTCGTGTTTGTTAAACATATCAATTAAGTAGTGTTTAAAGATAGATTTATGTATTAAATTTCAGATTAAATAATTAAATTAGAAAAATTTTATATTTATTTATATAAAAATATTTTAGTCAAAAAGATATAGAAGGTAGGGGTAGATGATAGGGTATGGGATAAAGTTTTCATTTATAAATTTATTTAATTTCGGCTGTTGTAAATATAAATATGTATCATTTATCACTATTATTATTTATAAATTTATTTGATTTTAACGTTATAAATATGTATCATTTATCACTATTGTTATGAAAAAAGACATACAGAAAATGTTATATTCCAGAGTTAGAGAGACATAGTAAAAATTCTTTGGAGTTCTTTGTGGAAAATATTTGGTGGGATCTAAGGGGATTGAAGAATTCTTCTATACATCTTAAAATTTTGTAATTCATATATTTAGAGTTTGAGAAATTGAAAAACATATTAGTTAAAAATATAGTTTGTTGTTGAAAACTTGATTGATTGACTATCTTCTCGTAACATTTTTGTTATATCTTATAAAAAAGAATTTTGAAGTTTGTTTATCTCTTATAACTACTGTTGTGGATATTCTTACATTAATGGTATATTACAATTAATTTCCCTTGGTTATACCTATTAATTTTACAAAGAATGGCCATGGGAAAAATAGGTTAAATTTACAAGTGATTACGTTATTGGTAAAACTAGACAGTTTAGATTTTAATTTAATATTTAAAATTATAAAACTAAAAATAATTTTTATAATTTTTTAGACCTTGATTCCACGGATACCAATATTTTTAAAGGGTGCTTTTGCACATCTACTCCTCAGACCTTCCTCCATTCTTTCAGCAGCGCCTTGCCATTCTTTTGGCAGTGCCTAAACAATATATCCTTAATTTGCATTGATAGGAAGAGATAGAACTGAGTGGTATGAATTGGAATAAAATTCAGTTAGTTAAATTAGTTCAAATCAAATAGAGCATAACAAAATAGTATCAATTTAATTCATTCCACCACTTCCTGCTATTTCCTTCCAATTTAGGCAATAGTCTAGTGAAATTCACCCTTTAAAGGTTAAAGGTGTACTACTGGGATGTCACGGATCTGAACCCGCAACTCCGCGATGTCTATATGCACAACTACCAACTAACTGAGCTACCTTAATGGGACAATCCCAATTAATGCTCTTTAATTCTTTAATTCAAGTGTGTTGAGTTCGATTTAATTGCTCCGATTCTCCCAATTCCCCCAACAAGATAACGCATGCAACTCTCAACTTTTTCACTTCTGAAAGCAGCTCCCACCATTTCACTCCTTCCAGGGTGAGTTTCTAAAACACCCGTTATATAAATGTGAATAGAAAGAGGTATAACAATCAAATTTCAGTTCATGCATGACAGGAAAGTAACCATACAAAATATGTAAATAATACAGTAACACCTAAAATATGATTTGAATAGGCGTTGATACCTCAGCCTGTTTGAGAACTTAAATCCATATGAAATATGTGCAGCAAAGCAAAATAAACAATCATTATTACAAAGTATAGCCCCATTGCCAAACTATCCAATCAAGTACAAGTCTCCCGTCTGTTTTTCTTCCGTTATTACCTATTCAAATTAACCTTGTAGAGATATTCTCATTATTCTGCTGACCAACAAGTGTTTGGTTTATTTCAAAAGCATTAATTGTAGAACAATATTATAAATAGGAAGAGGCTAAGGAAAAATAAAATAAAATAGCACAAATCAGATTCAAAGACAACACCAATTCATATATCCATGACGAAACCTTGGCAGAGGGGACTACTTATTGCCACCACAAGCCCCAAGTTAGCATTCATCTTTGAGGGGGATCAATCGTGCGGACATTAGCAACTGACATACCCTCAATTCGGTCCTTGGTGATTTCCACAAAGTGACCAACAATTTCATGAAACTGCTTGAGCCCTGACAGTGGAAGAATGATGGAGGATCGATCAGAACCTGCAACCTGCAATGAAGTAACAAGGATTTACAGCAGAAAATATTCTACCCAAACTATAATAATAAAATAGGAAAGGACAACAAAAATACAACGGCAACACACCTCAGATATTCTGAGAAAATGGCCCCTATTGTTGTTCCCAAGATCAAAGAAAAATCTTTTTTGATCAGCCCTGATCACTTTTGAGACCCCCAAGTTCCCAGTTTCTTCCTGAGCTGGTAAATCAACAGACCTGTCCACATTCAATTCAGAAGAGGTGGCAGGTTGAGTACTATGACCAGATATGAAGCCAGCACCAACATCATCTGAAAGTCCAACTAACCGCTCTGAGGATTCAGAACTTTGCTGTTGTGAAATACAAACAGTAGATGAGTTTTAACACATGAAAAAAGACAGCTAGGAAAATTTTGTGGCTAAGCAGAAAGAAAAAAAAAAGTCTAATCGGAAAACAAGGAAACCTGATTGGGCAGAAGGAAAAGCCTTGAGGCTTCATTAATCTCTGCCAAAATGTTCCTGAATGCTGCCCACCCTTCATCCCTGGAACTTCCTGCAGGAACGATTATAGTGCTCCGATTTCTGCTGACAGAAGCTTCAGACACCTTCGCAAAATAAATTAGAGTTGTGATATTGAAACAAAATAAGCATACATGTAATATATTCCATTAAATAGAAATTCCATAATACACAATAGCTAAGGCCAAAAGGATGCAAAACAAGATAACAGCTTATTCTGAAGGACTACACATAGTCTCATTAGAACTATGTCGGTTAATTGGAAACACCAATTACCAGAGTTGTTTGGAAAAGCTTTGGCAGATGTTACTTACTCATCATGTGTCACCAAATTCAAATCTATTAACAGGGACCAATATAGTTGATGAAGGAATCACAGAAATTAATAGTTGACTGCATGGCTACTTCTGTGTAGTGCAGGCCAGTTTTATTGTTCTTTTTATATTCCACTGTGATGCATGCTTTAAGAAATAATAATAAATGCTGTTCCACCAAAACTAGGAAAAAAATTCCATTGTGTAACAGCACGTGCAAAAACAGACATGCCAACATCCCTAAACTTCCAATACAGAATGATTGCCTGGTCTTCAACAATTTTCACTCTTTCCTTCCCTCAACCCCACAAAGCATTTGATAGAAACAACAAACACGCAACAAGAATATAAAAGGGGATATTGAAGATACCCCCAAATACTGAACACAGAAGATTTTCCGCAAACAAAATAAAAGGTCCACTTCCACATATTTTGTACTGCACAATAAAGGAGAAAACTCCATGATTATTTTTCCAGATTCCGTCTTGGAGTTAGAAGAGAACTTGAGAAAGAGGATTTGAAAGAGGAGAAAGGATTAAAAGATACAAGATTCAAATTAACCAATTGTGTGGGTTTGATATAAGTTGCATGGTAAGGTTAAGTTGAAGGTCAATTGAGTATCTTAACAGAAAACCAAGTTGATGAGGATTTTTAACGATAAAAAATCCCACGAGTAACCCTAACAACAATCATCAAGCAGACGTCTAAACTAAGTTACGGAAGTCAATGCCTATGATAAATTAGAAATTCCACCGTGGCAGGATTTCAACATAAAATTATTTATATTATATTCTAGGTTTCTCATTGTAAACAGGGGTTTTACTTGCAGTTACAGAGCTCGAGATACAAATTCATCATGTTGTTGTGCAGGTGTTTGGTTTCAACTGCTACTAAAGTAATTTCGCAGAAACACTGCCATGAACAATTTGCTCTCTAGCTACCCACCATTATGACCAGGAATGCTGTGAAATTCAAATTCCTAGATCTTACAATAGTATTATGCAATTCAAACAACCACATTAGGAATGTCTAACAAGAGCTCAACACCAAAATTTACTGCAAAATCTCATTTAAAATCCCAAGGTCATTAATTCCCACATGTTATACACCAAACTCGGTCCCATTAAGTCACACCTCAGTTGGTGGCTGTGCAAGGACATCAGATACACCAAACTCCTTCCAAAAACTAAACAAGTTGTAAACCGGTAAATAACTAAAAATATTCCTCATTTTCTACCTCTTTCAAAACTGTTGTTCAATGTTATGATAATAGAATTTCATTATTCCTCATGGAGAAGAAAGAAACACAGTTGCTAAAATTGCCAATCGAAAACTCTACAAAGTCTAGATGTTTTGACCTTCGTAATTAGAATAAGATGATACAAACATATCACAGCAAAATCCATTTAACTGAGAGTAATTGAGAATTTGAAAATACCTTTAAGAAACGGCCTCTCCTATTCTCCCCAATGTCGAAGTAGAAAACCTGAAGAGAAAAAAAAATTAGAGAGGAAGAAATTAGGTTAATTGAATTACTAATTACTAATTATTAATTTACTCCACCTTGGTATCGAGCTGCAATTCCTTGCTGAAAAGCTCTTGATCATCAGGATTAACGTAATAATTGAAGAGATCGAGAAACCACGAAATGCCGGAGAACGGAACGATGATGGTGGACCTAGTAGCAGAGGTTTTCTCAGAAATCTTAAGGTAACGACCACGAGGATTTTCTTTCAGATCGAAGTAAAACAACTTATGCTCAACCTGTAACGTCTTACAGAGAAGCTCCACGTCAGCACCTCCACCGCCACCTCCACCGCCGCCGCCACTACCACCACCGCCGCCGCCGCTACCACCACCGCCACCGGAGTTCCCCTCCATCTACGCCAATCCAATTACAGATAATTGAAATTGAAGAAATAAGAAACAGATCTGAGTTAGAAGGTCCAACAACTAGAATAGCGACAGTTACAGTTAGAAACGAGCATGAGAGTGGAGTGTGAAGTGGCTTTTGGTTTGAGTTGGATTTGTGGAGCGGGGTACTGCAACAACAACTACAAGGACGTATTTCCCGATGCGATGTCTACAAGGCTATTATTCGTAGATCCATATCTTCTCTCATGTGAATCTTTCTTTTCACCTCATCAAGTCAATTTGTGAGAATAGGTAACTTTCTCAATTTGTAGCTTTGAAAATACTGCTTTCTAATTGCTGCTACTGTAATAAATTGGGTCTTTTTACCTAACTTAGGATTTGCGTCTTCCAACGATTCTTACATATTAAAAAAATAATAATTTTACTCAATCACTCATTAATTATTGATGGAGTTTTTCCACACGAAAAATTAACAATGTGTTTTCATTACATAAATTGAAGTGAAGGATAACAATTTAGGAGTGATGTAGTACTATAATATAAAGTTGATGTAATAAAATAATAATAAAATTAAATAGGTTTAATATCTTTTTTTTTTCATTAATTGTAGTCAATATTTTTTTTTTTTAGAAAAAGAATATTATACAGTAGTTCATTAACTTATATTCTATTACATATTTTAGTTATTTTTATTTAAAAAACATTAAAATTTATTTTGTTAGATTTTAGTGACTGAGTTGGAATAAAATGGATGACTTTGAATCAAATATCTGGTGTCACATCGAATAGAAAAACACAAACTTTGGAGTGAGTGAGAAAGAAACCAACAAACGCATCACCATTCTATTTACACACACAAACAGAGATAAATGAAAACAAAATGTCATTTCTTCAACTCTCTGCCTGCAACTCCAACCACACCTTTTTCACATGTTTTAACAATAAGATAACTTGTTCTCTTTTTTTTTCAACCATCACCTACCAACCCACGTTTTCTTTTTCAAAAATCTCATCTGATTTTTTTTTCTTTTTTCAATGAGAGAGATGCTGACAAAGTGAGATTTTTTTCAACAAAATGAACATTATTAGGTCAAGAGGAATGGATATATCAATTATGCATAAGAGTGATAGGTATGAGCTTGTTCGTGATATTGGGTCTGAGAACTTTTGAGTGAATGAGAATGAGTGAAAATGTTTAGTCAAAGCTACAAACTATGTAGTTTCAACACCGTCCTCTCCAGAATTAGTGGAAATGTGAATGAGAATCTGTAAGGAGTTTTCTAAATTGCTGTAGTTGAAAACATCAAAAAGTAATTTTAGAGAATCATTATTATTCATTGTTAAGTTAAAAGGGTGAAATTTTTAAATGAAAAATAGGGTTTTGATGATTAGTGTCAACCGAGAAACAACTGAGGTGGCGATGGAAGAAAAAAATTTTAAAAAAAAACAACATCCTTAGATTCCAAAATCCACTACTTTTCTAAGTACCAAACTTCGATCCAATAAGAACCCATGTTCAATTTTTGAGACAGAACAATCCCAAAAAATGAGATTTTTGGTGAAAAAATTTAAGTCAACGGTGAGTGAAATTGTGTTAACCGAATAGTCAAAATGACATGAAAAATAGAAATTGAACATGATTGAAAGTTGGCAGAAGAGAGAGATACGTAGCAACGATGGAAGAAAGAGAGAAAGTGAAAATAGATAGGGACCAAATAGAAATTGAACATGATTGAAAGTTGGAAGAAGACAGAAGTTGAATGTTTAATTTATCATTTGCTTACTTGATATGCCACCTCAGTCATAGTTAACGTTTTTCACACAATCTAACGGTAGGGACTAAATGGTTTAACGGAAGTGAAGTTAAGGGATCATTATGTAATATTTTTTAATTCGAGGATCAAAGCGAAACTTCACTCAAAGTTAAGGGATCTAGAGACTAATTATGCCAATTAAATATTATATTAAAGGTGTGACAATTATTTTTAAATAATTTTATTTTTATAAAAATGATTGTAGAATGGGTGGAATAAAATAAGAAATTAAAAAATAAGTGTTGCGACTAAAAAGTGTTATTGAAAAATTGAATGCATAATTTCTAATACAATATTATTATAGTTTATTTAACAAGTGTTTTAAAAGTAAAAAAATATATATTATTTATGTTTTTGTAGAGAAATCATAATTAATTTTTGAAGTGATGAAGTAGTGTTTGTTACAGTGGACTTAAATTTTTAATGTGGTGGATAGGTTGCTTACATGTAAGGTTATCACATTGACACGTAAGGATGAAAAGTTATGTGAGAATGAGAATGGATTTGAATACGTGACAATTGTGTGTTTTCTTTCTAAAATAGCGAAAATGATTTTCAACATAAAGCATGAAGTGAGGCGTGGATTGCAATCATCCATCAAATTGATCTCAACAATCAGAGTCTAACTCATGTTCAAGACTAAACATCTCAGGAGAAAGGAAGTGACTTCAAACGATTCATTTGACAAACTCTCATCTTTTAATAGAGAACAGTATGCTTTGTGGAAAGAGAAGAATATAATTTTCATAGAAGGGATGAATTTTGAAATGTTGAAGGTTGTGAAAATGGTTCATTTGTTCTCACACATGAAGTAGATATTGTTGTGGTAAACAAAACAGAAGATGATCATAACAAAAAGCAAAGAGAAAAAGTGCATCGCAGTCTGAAAGTTAAAATTAGCATCACTAGAAATTTTTACCAAAATAACCCACTTTTTCAAAAAAAAAAATCTCAAAATAACTCACTTTTCAATATATTTCCCAAAGTACCCCACTTTGGGGGGGGTGATAGAGAGGGGCGTCATGTCAATTGGCGACTGCTTATTGAGTCTAAGTGGTGTCGCCAATTGGATTGGAGACATCATATGGTGTTGTCAATCCAATTGGCGACGGGGTGTTAAACCTTATATGGTGTCGCCAATGCATTTGGAGACAGAGTGCATTGTGTAATTTTTTAAATAAAAATAAATAATATAAATAATTAATTATAAATAATATTACATAAATCAATGTTGGCGACCGGGTTGGTCATACTGGTCAGCGGTTCCGCATCCCCTAAGCACTCTCACTTGTTGCACTCATTCTCCTCGTTGTTGATTCACTCCAAGTGTTTGAGGAGTTGAAGTCTCAGGAACATTCTCAGTTGATTCACTAAGAATTTCTTGCATTTCCATGAGGTCTTGTGTGTTGAAACTGAGCATGCGACCCATGCCAGAGTAGTTCGAATGTGATGAAGGAGTTATTGGTGTGCGACTTGGACGATTGAAGGCGGAAATTGGTGTGAAGGCTTCGTTGGTGAAAGGTTTAAATGGTATTGGTGTTTGAAAGTCATAAGGTTGTTGGTATGTTTGTGTGTGTAGGCTAGAGTATGATGTCTGAGCGTTTTGGCTATGGAAAGATGTTTGGGCGTTATGTCTGTGGTACGATGTACCCTCATTTTGGCTATATCTTGATGTTGTGTTGGGGGCATAACCATATTGGGTTTCTTGATAATAGTCATTTGTTGGAGATAGTATGGGGGCGCTCTTGGTATTGTGGTTGGGTGTTTGACATGTTTGAATGGTGGGTTTGTGTGTTAGTGGGTTGGTAATTTTGTTGGATAGGGGGTTGTGAGTAACATGGTCGATAATTACCCGGTAGGTTAGACGTTGAAGCTTCTTGTGTATAGGGGTTGTGGGTAACATGGCCGAAGAAGAAGAAGAAAGTGAGACATTGGTTGATCAACTATTGAATAACACCATTGAAGATGACGAACAAGTGCCAATACCTCCAGGTCATGTATATTGTCCTCCTCAACATATGAAAGATTTGGACTTGCAAGACGATGGAAGATACTCAGATATGTTTTACAACCCGTATATGCGGTCAGAGAATGAATTAAAAGTGGGATACAAGTTTCGTACCAAGGAAGAATGTGTACGAGCCATTAAAAAATATCACATGGATAACTCTGTTGATTTCAATGTACAACAAACTGATTCGAGAAGGTATGTCATTATTTGTCGTAATCCACTTTGCAAGTTCTGGCTTGCTGCATCTTACAGGAAGAGAAGTGATTATTGGAAGATAGCTTCCATAGAGCCACCTCACAGTTGCACTGCCACAAATATTGTTCAGGACCACCGAAAACCTAGTGCATAATTGATATGTCAAGACATTTTGCCGCTTGTTAATAAGGATCCATCAATGAAGGTGAGTATAATAATCTCTCATATCGTTACGCAGTATAATTATACTCTCTCGTACAAGAAGGCAGGGATTGCAAGGACAAAGACTGTTGAACAGGTATTTAGCAACTGGGAGGATTCTTACAAAGAATTACTGCAATTTTTGGTAGCACTTAAGACATACACATCGGGGACTGTTGTAATAATGGAGACAGTGCCGACATGTAAGTCAGATGGAACTATTGTTGATAGAAATGCAATATTTCACCAACTTTTTTGGTCATTTCAACCGTGCATAAAAGGTTTTCCATTCTTCAAACTATTATTCAAATTGATGAAATGTGGCTCTACGGAAAATATAAGGGCACCTTGCTTATGGTTGTTGCACAAGACGACAATAATAATGTCTTTCCCATAGCCTTTGCTATGGTTGAAGGTAAGACTACTGCTACTTGGGGTTTCTTCCTTAAGAATCTCAGAACACATGTGACTCCACAAGTCAATCTTTGTTTGATTTCAGACAGACATACTGCTATTGAGAGTGCTTACAATAACCATGATAACGGATGGCATAATTCTCCTTCTACCCGTGTATATTGTTGTTAGCTGAGAAACTCGACGTCCATATTAAAATGGAAGTATTGGTTGGGATATTGAATTCTTGATGCAATGTGAAGGAGTCTTCGACTGGGTCTTTACAATAAATAAAGTCGAAGGCACTCGCATAAGAAAGGAAGACTTTTGGGGACTTAGAAAATATTTATAAGATTGGAAAAACTACCTTCGACCGAGAATGTTGCCCAATA